GAAGAATTTATGTATTTTAGCACTGAATATTTTGACATCAAATATCCAAATTGTTTTTGAATCACTGAAAATGCTTGATTATCAGTTTATACAAAAGAGGGAAAACCACAACAGGTTTTTGGTTATGTGACAATGCCTCCATTTTCCAGTCATGTCAACTATTTATCAAAGTCACAAAATCTTTCTACACACCAAGGAAATATCAAAGTTGGTGTTTGACAGTGCTACTGTCTAACTAGGTGAAGTATACCATCACCTTTTAGCAAAAGTGGTTGGCACAGCCATGATAAATCCCAGTAATGTAGCAATCAGCAAAAGGACAGAGTGACATAATGGGGGCGGGGAATTAGATATAGGCTAGACTGTGGGATAGTAAACTGCCCAGGATCAAGTCTTCTGGTAATTTTCATGGCTGAATGGGACTGAAAAGTCCTAGTCCGACTCCAACACACAGTTCACTACACAATAGTAGTAGCAATCTTTGCTAGAATCCAAAATGTGAATGTATGCTGCTTAGAAAAGTTATGCCATCTTCAGAAGCCCAACATGCTCACACAACAATCAAGCTAGCAATACAGCTAGAAGAACAAGATGATCGCCTTGCGTTCTTTTGAGGAGAAAGGCAAGGTAAAAATAAAATAAAATAAAGATGAGGTAGGAAACATCTGAAGAGACCTGAACACTTCCAGTCAGTGGAGTTGTGGATGGATATGAATATGGAGAACAAGGTCTTAACAAGGATGCTAAGTAAAAGATGGCCTATCCAGTTTGGATGGGGGGGGAGAGATTAAAAGATCAGACGTCCTTTTTTAAAAAACGTATAGAAAAGATGGTGACCCCCTAAATTTAGTAGAGGAAAAGACAGGGGTCTTGAAACGGGGGATGATTCTGACAGTCCAGAATGAATAAGACAGAAACAATGATGGTGTTCAAAGGGAACAGGAACATTTGAAAAAAATAGCCTAAAGGAGAGTATAGCATGGCATTTCAAACATGTAATCTCAAAGATATATTCTCTAGCAATCAGTACATGTTCTAATTAAGAAAACTATTAACACCCTTTCCTTCCCACCCACTACCAGCCCACAAACCTCCCCCAGCATGTCCCTTTCTTAGCACACATAGAACATCCAGATAAACTTCCCAAACTGGCAAAAGCAACCACTGAAACAACTTCAAACACCACAGACCAAGGAAAACCACAACTCAGAAATCAATTCCCCTTCCCCTACCCCATGCCTTTGCTTAATATGGAAATACTGTACATATTAAAAAATTACCCTCTTCCCCAACCTGAATATAACTGCTGTAGTTGGTGCCTATACATATGTACACTAATATTTACATATAACCGCAATCAAATAAGCGGATGATATTATATATGGCACAACATTAATACATAATGTTAACAACAATATTAGGAAATGTTGCATTGTTTCTGCTTTGAGAAAATGCATTTCTGATATTAAAGAGTAAAAATGATGGGTGAAATATATGGTGTTCAGGATGTGTCCTTACAGAGGCTTTTGGCTGAGGTTATATGATACCTACATCTATATTATTCACCTTTTCAGTAGTGTTTATGTGGATGGTGTGTAAAGAGAATGTGTATACCCATACCCACATTAGTGCTTATAAAAGAAATGCAATAAAATTGGTATGGAATAGAATGGACACTCCAAGAATTTAAAGGTGGCATTCATTTCAACCATGCTATCAGTTAAATAGATTAAGACATGTAATGAATCACTGACAATACATACTTGCTTTTATCACAGACCCAATTCAAATAATCCAATTGACATGTTGGCTTTGTTGACTGAGTGGATCTAAACTAAGATTGGCACATGATAAAACTTCCACACCCCACAATCCACTTCCATTAGTGCTCTGATGGCATCACAAATGTGAGTTAAGATGTAAACTGGGCATATACAGTAATTAGGTTTAAGTCACATGCAAATCTCAGTCAGATCCACTCACTTCCTCAAGGAGGAAAGCAAGATAATTTATTTCAAAGTTCCTCAGTTTTGTTAAATTGCTAAGCCAGTATCCCACTGCTTAAATGCAGAGCAGAAAGGCATTTCTGTAAATGTCCCCCACTCTCAACAGCAGGTTCCCTCTTCTATACCAGCTGCAAGATTGTTCATGCAATTGGGCTAACAATGGAGAGCATAATGGGAAGGGTATATGATTGCCTTTCTGCTCTGCAATTTAGGAACAAGTAAATGGCCATTTGTCCTGTTTTTTGGTCTCCTCTGGGCATGGGCTGGTTTGTTCCTCTTCCTGGTGACCACACAACATACATGCCATTGCAAACCAGCCCATCCCTGATGTATTTTTACCTGCACCTTTCTTGGTCCCTATCAAGGGCTACTGTTTCTTTGGTGCAGATAGGATCGCTCCCTTTTGATTTAGTTCCAGCATGTGTGATCACTGGGACTGAATCAAAATAGATGACTTTAGCTGTCTGATTAAATCACTTGAGAATGTTGGGAAACTGAAGTTTCCTCTCACTATTCCATGGATGGGGAAGTGAAGGTGTGTTTTTTTAAGGAAGTGCTGATGCTCTATGCCTTTTAGATTTTTTCTTTAATGAAAAGATTCGTCATGGAAGAAAGAGAAGATAGGAGAGAACAAGGAAAGAGACCTCTTTTTGTTTTGCTATTTTTCTTTCTCTCTTAAGGGAGGAAGGACCAAATAGGAGGTGCACTGTGGTTTCTTGACCTGAAACTGCCACATCGCAACAAATGGCATATCACATTGTCACCACCAGGATAGGAGTTAAAGATTCATCATAAAGGTGGCACTTCAGGGATAAATATCAGCTGTGAGGGACCAGAAACTCAAACTACCAAAGAGTGTTACACACTTTTATAGTGCTCTGAGGCCATTGTTTTAGTGGCATAGATTTGCTCTTAACAGCACCTCTATTCAACCTTAAGTGATGCTATTTAACCAGATCCAGCTCACTCCAATTGGGGATCTAGTCATGTCAAGTAATGACAACATGCCACCCTTGGTCTTTGCCTCCAAGGCAAAGGAATTTCACTAAAAATAATCTGTAATATATCTTAATGTAGGAAATATAATCCCTGTCAATGCCTCTCCTTGGTGACTGGTCTACTGCCATGCTAGTTTTATTATGTGCTTGATATCCAATTTTTATTATTTTTATTTTTGTGTTTCCTTGGACTTGAATATTCTTATTTGGTCAAAATACAATCTACACTACCTATAGGATGATATGCATATTCATCTTATTCTCAAAAACAAATGGGATTTGGGAACATTCAAACCCTGAAAAGGTGTGTCAAACTATTTAAAACTAATCTTTTGAAAATGAGATGACTGGTTTTTATCTGAAGTTTGTTTTGATGAAACTATATTCCATCTATAATGGAAATGAAACTATATGCCTGGATCTGTAACTGGCGGTTATAATCCCCAACCAACATTTTCAGTGGTGAGGGTGTAGGGAATATTAAGAACGAACTATGGCTTGAAAGCCTATTTGGCTACAAACTGGAAATAAGCCCTTTGGGGACAAAACTAATGTCCCACTAATTACTTTCTTCATGTTCGAGCAGTGTTCAAAAGTATAGTGGACATATTCCACTTCAACAGACCTAGTATATTCAATATTCAATAGCTGGGAAGCACTTACAGGAGAGGACATAAAAGTATGTTAGATGAGTTTTAGGTCCATCTTCTGTTGTTAGGAACTGAAACTCTCGGTTTCTCTTTGATGGATGTGTACTAGAATGCAACCAACAGAAGTCCCATTTTGGAGCAGTTGGGCAAAACCAATTGCAATCATGAATAGTATGCGAACCCTTTCTGACATAAAGAATATATTGAGAAACTCAAGAGGCACACAAAGCTGGCTTGGCTATTATGGGAACAATTTCCTGGAGAACAACAGAATATTTGTTCTGTGCAATTAGTTCTTCAGTGTTACAACAAAGTCTGTTACTACCACATTAATATTATGGAGGAAACTATGCGCTTGAATGAAGGTCCTTGAGAGGGTAAATTCCTAGGGAGAGGGAAGAATTTGTAAGAAAATGGCTGAAATATGTAAATCTAAACTGGGGTTGTGTTGGATGTCTGCAATTAGAAGAGATACATACAGATTTGCCAAGGTGAACATAAAGGGATGAGATACATTTTTTTAAAAACTAAAGTGCTGACACAAGGGGAAGCCTTTAAAAAATGTTTTTAGTGTCATGCATAACACCTTATTCATCATATTCTTAGAGCACCAGACATTAACAGCTTGTAAATTCTGCCATTATAACCCCTCCTAATCTTTTCCTCCATTGTGCCCTTGCCTTTATAATAGACATACTGTCCCGTTCTAAAAGAGGAAGCATTAAGAAGGTATTCCAACATACTCTGCTAAAGAACATGAGTGGCAGGAGATGTCAGATTGAAAACATACCAGTCACATTATCCATTGTCAGGAATGTAACTACTCACCCATTCAGGAAACAATACACTTTAGCTAGCTCATAGGGAAAATCAATCTTATGAAATAACCAAAATGTTAGGAATACATTTCATTTTTCTAAGAGGGAAAAAGAAACAGAGTTTCCAAGCTGATAAACATATAATTCTATTCACCTCTTTTACAATGTCTTATGTATTTTGGCAAGTTAAGCAACCAACAGTACTGCTTCCATTCTGACATAGACAATAACAGCTGTTAAAATTTCTCATCATGTTCACTAAGTATTTTTTCTTCTTCAATGAAATAAAATTCAGATTCTTATATTACAAAATCATAATCAGTGTTCAAAGTATCACCTATGTGTGTAGTCCAACACACATGTTTCCTTATTGGTCATATTTCAACAGAAATATCTATTTATCTATATATATCTCTATATCTCTATATAGAGATATAGATAGATAGATATAGATATAAATATATAGATATATCTTTCTTGATATATGTTTATATATTTCAAATGAAAAATAATTAACTGGAAAAAAGAGGGAGGTTTTATAATAATATGTCAAGACTATACACAAGACACCTGTAGATGGACTGACACTGAAAGTCCCTCAACATTTCTAGTTGGTGTTAAAGTAGATACTTATTGTGTTCTCTGCACACAAATTAAAATTTGTAAAACACTTGAATACTGTCAGACCTAAACCTATAAATGTAAACATGTTGTTCAATGTTCAAACTAGGTTAGGATCAAAGAAAAAGTTGTAATAGTGAACCCTTCGTCTCAAAACAGATCTGGAATCATTCTGAGAGTTCAGTTAGCATCTTTTTGGTTTGATTTTAGATCAATTTTCTCTGAAGTACCATTCTCTAGTATTTTTGGTTTCAGCTGAGGGATGGGAATACTGAAATGGCTGCTGGACGCAAGCTTATCAGTAGCATCAAACCCAGCTGCTAATAATCCTTAAGAAGTATTAGTAAACTGAGGAGATTTTCCAATCCCAAGGTTTCCAAGCCAACATAACTTTGGAGAAGTCCCTGTAGTGTTGGATGATGGTCTAAACTGAACATTCAAAATGACAACTCATTCCATCAGCCAGAAAAAAACAGTACAACATTTCAGGAGGACTAAGATTCTACAGGAAGATTATGGCATGGAGTTTATAATCAAGCAAGGAAGATATTGTACTTCTGTTGAAACATAAAAAGCCCTACTAAGAAAGCTTGAGGTGCTACAATGCCTTTTTCTGACTATGAAGAAAAAAACATGGCAGGTGTGGATTAGAAAGAGGTATTCAATGCATGCAGTTTACTTTCATTCTACACATTTTTCAATGGCCTGGGCCCACATAAAGTTGCTTCCAGACATACAGTCTGAAAGTTGTAGGGAAAAACAACTTAAAACCCATCTCCTCTCCAAACCTGAATATTCACAATAATAGAAGCACTAGTTTGTACAAAATGCGATAGAAAAAACCCATATTTACAAATGAAATGAATGCCTTCTCAACTGCCCTTGTCAGAGGATTCAGCATCACCACTTTATGTCCAGCAGATTGCTTAGCAAGTATATTTTTCCTCAGAGGAGAAAGAAGAGAGGACCTACAAGGTGTCCGGCTCCTCCAACCATAGAGAGGGTGCTGCTCCTTCCAAAACCTGCACAGTAAATCAGAAGGGGGAGGGGAACTCCTGTTTCACCAAATGTTCAGGTGCATCCTTAACCCATCTACCAAAAAAGCAAGGCTTTCTATTGACTTAAATGCAAGAAACATTAAGATAAAGCCAAGTGGGCTCATGAAAAGAGAAACAGCTGCAGGAAATGTGGCTTGAGTAAAGAATGGCTGCTTCCAAAGTCCAGGGCCTGTATCTCTCCACGCATCCAGTTCATCTACTATATGCCTGATATATCACAAGAGCACTTTTCACCATCCTTTCCTGTTAGGAAAGTGGAAGAGCAGACCCATTAAAAAGTGAGAAACTTTGCCACATATTTAGGAAACAACAATGGACTTGTTGTCCTTACCTGAGGGTTCCTGCTGTAAATGAAGCAGTCTCACTTCTACCATGTATATATGTAGTTTAACTTGCATTTATAATAGTCTTCCATCACAACAAAACTGTGGTTACCAGTCCCATATGTGCTGTGAAGAGGGCCAGAACAACTCTGAAGTTGGTGAATAATAACCACTGCATTTTCAGTTTAGCACCTACTGGTCTCTTCTTTAACTCTCTTCCCCACCTCTTTTCACCTCTGCCTGCCAGCCCCCACCACAGCATCTGTGGGATCTGGTTTCATCTCCTTCTGCCCTGTGGAAGACAAGCCATGTATTTCCACAACATTATAATTATCAAATATAAGTATATATTCAATAAATACACATATACACATGTCTGAGTTGTGCTGGCCCTATTCCCACTAGCAGCAGCACCGTCTTTTTGCACTTTCCGTTCCAAGGAAATACTTCAACCCAAAGAGCAAAGAAAGCCTTTTTGACATTCTCATAAACCCACTTTGTATTGTAAGCAAGGGGAGGAAACAGTGGGCAGGACTTCGGCCTCCCATGTACAATCCATCACAATAATCTTGGAATCCAGCAGCTCTGATTTCCTTCTCATCTTTTTCCTCTTTTACTTCTCCCTTTTATTGCAAAGGCTTGCTCTGCTGGGTTTGTCAACTAAATATTTTAGTGATGCCAAATTCATTGTTTTAATCATTGATGTTTTGTGAGAATTATTATTTAAGCAATTATCATGTGTAAACCAACCTACATCAGAGAGTTCATGATTTTAAAATTAACAACCAGTTGTTCATGAGTAGGATAAAAGCCACCATTTGCCATTCTCTCCTCTTATGGGACCTGACTTTTGAATTTTCCCAAGTCTTTTACTGGGAGCTTCCTGATCTAACTGGCATTAGTGTCTATAACACCAGCGTATCTTTCAGAAGCTACCTCACTGGGTTACTATACTGGATTACTGATCAGACTTGCACATATCAATCCTTCTCTCCCCATCATAAATATACCAAGATTTCAGTACATGTTGTTTTCAGTATATCTATATATATCTATATCTATATCTATATCTATCTATATATGCAACTCCATATTTCAGCCTTTAACCCACTGAGTTTTCGTAAAACAACTGAGTGAATCTTTGCATATAATCAACATATACTATATGAAGTTGATCTCACACCATTTATATCCCTTCAATTTTGTTCAAAAGTGCAAACATAAGAAGACCTGAAGCTTCTTCATGCTGATTCCATCTCCTCTACTCTCCACTTTATGGCACTTTCTCATATTGGCACTAACCATCACTGTTTGGTGCTAAGAAACCCCCAAACTCTGTGTCCACTGCCCACACTCATGTGTTGACCTAACCTGATCCATGCCCTGCCTTTCCAGTGGTGAAAACACAAGCTAAGCTACTAAGCTCTGACATGTGATGGCCAGGAATGGAACTGAGAGTGGGGAAATGAAAAGAGCTAATCGGAATGGAGGAGAGGGAGGGGGGAAAGAAATAGGTGGCACTTCTTATCAACGGTGCTTAAGCAGAACTCCAATATTTCACAAAGAAAAAAAAGAGTAGCAGAAGAGTAGCAAATGGGAACTAGGTCTGAACCCACCACCTGCCCCTCCCACACTTTGCATTTCCTGCACCATCCCCTCCCATGCTTTTCCCAATCACTCAGACATCAGACTCAATACTGGAAAGTTTCTCATAAACATGCCCGTTGCTGGAGCCATTGAAAGCCCTGGGGTTTTTGTTGTTAGGCACACAGGGGTTGGACTGGTTCCCTATACAGATGTCCTTCTGGAAACGGGCTGGCACAGCCCCATGAAGGGCCGAGACCACCGGCTTGTTGGTGGTGACAATGGCTCGGAAGTCTGGCCTGGCCTTGGGCCCTCCTGCTACCACAGGCTGCCTGAAGAAATAGGATTTGCTGCCGTGGAGCAAGCACTGGTCATCCCCAAAAGTGGGGATAAAAGGGTTTTGAGTGACCCGGTCGGGGTAGAGAGACTTGCTGAGCATATAGCCACCACTGATGCCGGGATTGTTGTGGTGGTGGTGGCTGGTAGTGGGCACTGAGGACTTGTTGTTGGCAAAAGTGGACTCGCTTGCTGGCATCTCAAACATATGGGCGTAGGGGCTTCCCTCCAAAAAGCGTCCCTTGTCCTTCAGGCTCACACTACGGGGAGCCAGGGCTGCGTCTTCCTTTTGCAGATCCACAAACGTATCGTAGGAGTGCTGCCGGCGGAGTTTGTTGCGGTTCTTCTTCTGCGCTTTGGAGGCAGAGTTGGAAGGGCTCTGAGGATACTTGGTAGTGGAGGAGCTGGTGGCCACTGGCACAGGGGCAGAGGGCTGATCCAGCTCTTGGAGGGAGTTATCCTCACTAATATCATAGAGGTTACCTGCCTTCTTGCAGGCTTCACACCGGATACATGGCTGACGGGTGGAGTTCTGTCCCACCACAGTTGGAGTGTAGTTATGCAGCTTAGATGGGCAACTGCGGCAATAATTAGTCCCTGGTCGTTCTTCCCAATCCAGATTGGTGAGATTTTTCTCCCATGGTGCTGGTACCCCACTCACAACACTGTGCTTGTGCTCATTGTTTGCTCCAAATTCCCCCGACCCATGTTTCAGGTGGGTCCGATTCGTGCACGTCCCTGCTCCCCCTATCGTGTCACGCTTGAAGTCATCTCCCCGCTCTTTATAGATGTCAGTCAGATCCACATGTTCCCAGTGTGGCGAGTTCTCCTTAGCTCGAAACTGGTCCAAGTAGAAATCCCTTAGCCCTTCTTTGTCCCTGAAGTAGCGCTTGTGGTCAGGGGAACGGGGACGTCGACGATAAGCCAGTTCTATCTCATCAAACTCTCTCCGTGACTTAGCTGAGGCTGGGCGTTTCTTTAGGCTATCCTTATACTGCTGCTTTCGTCGTTTTGCAGCATTGCCTTCAATGTTGCCATATGTCACTGTATGAGTAGATATGTCTGAGACATCTGAACGGATCAAATCATCATGTGCTCCTCCACCACTGTACCGGTCACTCTTGAAAGACAATTTGCCATAGAGGTCTCCTAACTGGCTATGTTTGGCCGGTGGCAAACCAATATCTAATGGCTTCTTACCAAGAGGCCGAGGCTGGGCAGAGAAGGGTGGGTTATCACAGTCATACAGTCCATCGATGGAGCTGGCGCTACCTATGCTATGCGGACGGTGGTGGTGGTGATAATGGTCTTGATAAACATTACTTTCTTTCAGCTGTAGATTGCCAAAGGTCCTTTCTACCTCACTAATATAATCACTGAAAAGATTCTCTTCACAGGGTGGGTTGTTATAAGATTTGCAGTCAGAATGAGTGAAACTGCGACGATGCTCAGAGATATCGTAGACAGACGATTCACGGCGGATGAAATCCAGGGCACTTTGTGGTGAGCCATTGACCCCTGAAAGGTTTGCCATGTTCTTTGCTGTTCGGAGCAGGCGCAAAATGTTAGAATGGGTATTGTTCATGGTGGCAGTAGGGGAGTTCATTGAAGAATGGTGGTCTTCAATAGCCACTCCATGAATGCAGCTGTAAATACCCTGGAATGAAAAATGCAAAGAGAGATTAGTAGAAGGGAAATCCAGAAAAGGGAGTGCTTGGAGAAGTGGAGCTAAAAACCTTGCAAATCTGGCTCTTCAATTTTTTGATATAGCTAAAGCATGGTACAGTCCTGCTGCTACCACGATCATTCCTTCATTTTCATCTGTTACCAATAATGTTCCAAAACAGACCAATACTTCACTTTGCAAATATTATTTAGGATATGGGAATAGGCCTGATAAAAGTATTTCCCAATGAGGCATTAGAGCCTGTCAGGCCAAGGCTCTGAGAAACACAAAATATTAATTTACTTGGCACGGCCACATGTCCCTCTGCATAGCCTCTAGTCCTGTTATTGATAACAGCTATTGACTAACAATATGGTATTGATTCCAGCAACGCTCCCCCAGGTCATGACAAAGAAATCTGAATCCAATTCAGAAGTTGTACAAAACTATTTTTTTCAATCAGAATTACTTTGCCAAATTTAGGCCATTATTTGAATTTGGCTTTTCTGGTGGGGGAATCTGGGTTCACTGGACAAACTAAAAGCAGGACATGAATATAACTACTAAATAAATCCTGAACATTTATAATAGTTTCATAACAAAAGGTGCCACACTTCTAAACAAATAACTAAAGATGAGAAACCAACAGTTCTTCTGAACTTGTGTCAAACAAAACTTGATCATTAAGGTACTACCAGACTATTTGCAGACATAGTGTATAAATCTGTAGTCCAGCAGACCAGCTGCTGGACTACAGATTTTATAGACTATTCCTCTAAAAATTAAATAATCCACATTTTAATAATTTTCAACTTGTATATTGTTACTTCTAAGTCATCACTGATCTGGAAAAAAAACTCAACCTGTTGTATTTTTAACGGAAAAATTTGCTGTCACATAAATGTTAAATCTCTTCAGGCAGCACCACACAAAGCAACAGTACTGTAGCCTTGGACATAGAATTGTGCTCTCTTGCATGTTTACCACAGCTGACAAGAGGATCTCCCTTTACATTTCTGAAGGTGTATGTGTGTGCAAGTGAGTGTGAGAGAGATGGGGGGGGAGAGAATGATAATATTATATTTCTTTAGTAATGAACTCATTTCCCCTAGAGTTTGTGATGCTCTAATGTATTTATTCATGCATTTCTAAAAGAATAAATGTCCCCAATTCCATTTCAGTGTGGAAAATTCAATGGAGCTAGTATGAGTTACATTTTAAAACTACACATGATGCAAGGCAGAACATGTCTAAAATTCAGACTGTGAGATGATGGAAAAGAAAAAAAAGAACATTTTGAAATTCAATGTAGGATTGAAGCTAAGGAAGTGAACAGACTGGGAAATAATTTAGTAAGGAAAATGAATTATTGGAGAGGAGATAAACATTTATACAGAAATTCTCTTTTTTTTACCCTTCAATTAAAATATGCCCATAAAAATTCACTATGGTTTTTGAGCCTTTTGTCATGCTGCACCAAGACATTTTGCTCTCAAAAGCAAAGTCCAAGTGCTAAGCCTTCTACCACGATTAGGTCTTGTGCTGAAAAAAGGCTGGTTGCAGCATTCAGACACCCACTGCTGCTAAAGATTCTCATGGAGTCACTTAAAGGAGGCAGCTTCACCTCGCTGCCTCTCACAGCCCAAGTTTTCCTTTAAATGACTAGGGACAGAAGAAGAGAGGTTACTTACCTGTAACCGTTGTCCTTTGAGTGGTACTCTGTGAATACACATGAATGGTTAAACTGTGCCTGCACAGGGCTATTCGGAATATTCTGGAGCTAAAATGACGACGAGGGGAACATCTCCCTGTATCGCGCATGCTCCGCCCACCAGTGCCTCAGTTCCAAATATCTGTCACTGTAATGGCTCTGAAATTTAAGTGCCAAGACTGAGCTAGGCACTTTGTGAAAGTCCTTGGGGCAGTGGCAAGTCCGAATGGGAGGGCGCAGAATTGGTATACTGATTCCATGAAAATAAATCTGAGATATTTGCAATGACGTTCATGGATGGCAATGTGGAAGTAAGCGTCCTGCAAGTCTATAACAACAAACCAATCGCCCGGCGCAAGAAGTGGCACTATGGATTCTAATGTGACCATGCGGAATCGCCTGTAATGGTAAGTGTCTCCATCCTTTTTGGGAACTGCAAAATATCGGGAGTAGAAGCTGTCCAGTGCCTCTGGAAAAGAAACACAGTGAATGGCGTGCTTCTGAAGAAGAACAGAGACTTCTTCCTCTAGAGCAGGTGAGTAGGAAGTGATCTTGAGATGACTGAGTGGAGGAAGATCTAAGAACTCTAGCAGGTAACCAAAATGTATGATGGCGGGCAACCAAGTGTCTGTGATGGCATTGGCCCACTTGTTGAAAAAGGGGGCTAGCCAGGGAAAGTGAGATAGATTGGATGGATGAATCAGGAGGACAGTCAAAGATATTGTTTGCCCTTCTTGGCAGGGCGATGGAAATTTTGGTGACATTGATTAGAAGGCTGAGGTCAGAAAGACGTGGCAGCAGAAGAAGGAGGAATATTTGATCTGTCCTGAGGTTTATACCGATGGTAGGTTTGTTGGTAAGATTGTTGGTACGATAGTATGACTAATGGGAAGTGAAAGGTCTGCACCATTGCTGTCGTTGAAATTTAGGTTGTTGGAGATAATAAGACCGAGCTGTTTTCCTAATTTTGTGTAGATTTTCCATAACCCCATCTGTTTTTTCGTTAAACAGTCCGAAACCATCAAAAGGGAGTTCTTCAATTCGGGATTTGGCATCATCGTTTGCCTCCTCATAATGATGACCGATGCCATGGCCTTTGAAGCTGCATCAGCAGTGTGGCATGACATCTTGGCATCATCGTTGATACCCGATGAGCGTAACCAGGCATGCCTCCTCATAATGATGACCAATGTCATGGCCTTTGAAGCTGCATCAGCAGTGTGGCATGACATTAGCAGTTGTTATTTAGCTAGCATCATCGATTCCAGGTGAGTGTTTATGCTGTAGTTCTAGACTCCTCAGGGGCAGCTTGGAGAACTGGAAGAATTTTATTCCACAGCTGCCTCTGATAAGCACCCATCACCGCTTGATAGTTGGAAAGTCGCATAACGAATGATGCCAAGGAGTATAGGCCAGCAGTGTGGCATGACATTAGCAGTTGTTATTTAGCTAGCATCATCGATTCCAGGTGAGTGTTTATGCTGTAGTTCTAGACTCCTCAGGGGCAGCTTGGAGAACTGGAAGAATTTTATTCCACAGCTGCCTCTGATAAGCACCCATCACCGCTTGATAGTTGGAAAGTCGCATAACGAATGATGCCAAGGAGTATAGGCTAGGAGAAAGTCACATAACGAATGATGCCAAGGAGTATAGGCGATGGCCCTGCACATCTACCTTGCAGCCTTCCTTGTTGGTAGGGGTGACCTTAGAGCAAATTCCTGCTCTGGACTAGTTTGATTGTACAACTACTGAGTTTGGTGCAGGGTGCTTATTGAGGAAGAATGTATCAGTGCTGTGTGTTTTATAATGGTTCTCCACTCTTCTGCAGATCTGCAGGATGCCAAGGAGTATAGGCGATGGCCCTGCACATCTACCTTGCAGCCTTCCTTGTTGGTAGGGGTGACCTTAGAGCAAATTCCTGCTCTGGACTAGTTTGATTGTACAACTACTGAGTTTGGTGCAGGGTGCTTATTGAGGAAGAATGTATCAGTGCTGTGTGTTTTATAATGGTTCTCCACTCTTCTGCAGATCTGCAGAGAAGGAGGACGGTAGGGGTGACCTTAGCGCAAATTCCTGCCCTGGACTAGTTTGATTGTATAACTACTGAGTTTCGTGCAGGGTGTTTATTGAGGAAGAGTGTATCAGTGCTGTGTGTTTTATAGTGGTTCTCCACTCTTCTGCAGATCTGCAGAGAAGGAGGAGATTGCACCCAAGATTCTTTAATGAGGTCTAGCATCACCAGTATGAAGGCTAAGCTCAGAGGAGGTGATCTCTCTTGATTAATATCCTCAAACACTTGGTCATGTTTGGGGGGTAGAGGCTGATCTATATTCAATTCCAATGATTTAGCCATACGGCTGATTAATTGCAAATATGATGTGAAATCCTCAGAAGGAGAGGGAGGATGCATATCAGCAGTGTCCGAGTCAGGAGTGGGTAGAACTGAGGCAATTCCTTGGACGCCTCTGATTGGAGGTCTTGATTCTCTATCAAAGGATAGAGGGGGTGAGGGTGAGTGGGGGGGTCTTGACGTGGAGGCTGTAGGTCATGCAAGAGGTGCAGCCATTTCTACCTCAGGTGGATGTACAGAGCTGGAGGGTGCATGAGACCCAGTATGTTCTTTAGGATGCAATACTGGAGGTAACTGTATTAACGGGTCTCTAGGGTGCTTTTCTGGTTGAAAAGCACACTGTTCCTGATGTTGTCACCTGGAAGGAGGTTAAGCTTGATGCTGATGCCGAGGAGATGAAGGCGATGATGATGATTCCGATGATGCATACACATATCGCTCCCTCTTTTGTCTAATATAGTCCCCGGTATCATATGTGGGATCAATGTCGTATTGTCGATATGGGTGTCGACCAACACACAGGTCCATTTCAACATACAGCAGCTCTTCATATTCAGCCGAAGCATGACATTGTGATGGATGCAGGAGCACAATAACCTCCCAATGTCGAAGGAGCTGTCAGTCAGGAGAGATGTGCCGACGCTTTGACAGATGTTTCCGAGGGGAAGCATGTTGTGGCAATTCTTCCAGTTCCAACAATTGAGCAACTGCTGCCCACCCGATAGTTATAGGGCTTGAATGGGCTGAGGCCAGGCTGGAAATAATCTCAGCCTCAGAATGGCCTTGTGTCAGAGACAGGCTCAGTACTGATACCGATGCCTGTGTTTGCGGTTGTGGACGAAAACCCTCTTCCTCTGAAGTCGAGTCCTGTATCTCCCTAGAAGGCTTCTCTAGTATAGGTGAGGGCAGAGTTACTTGAACCGGAGAAGGTTCGGAATGCTGGACCAACTTGGGATGCTTAGACTTCTTTTGTTTGACAACTTCTTTCCTCTTTTTAGGGTTCTTGACAGATGCCTTCGATACCGACATCGAGCTCAGAAGATTTCTTTGACTTTGAAAATTTCAAAGATGTCTTGGAGGACAGGGTAGCCAGTGCCAGGTGAAGCAGCAGGGTCGGGGCGAGGAGTCAGAGGAGCAGATGTAAACGCCTTCGATACCGACTCACTGACATTGAGCTCGGAAGATTTCTTTGACTTCGAAAATTTCAAAGATGCCTTGGAGGACGGGTTAGCCAGTGCCAGGTGAAGCAGCGGGGGCAGGGCGAGGAGTCAGAGGAGCAGATGTAAAGGTAGGCTTCATAGTTGTTGGACCTGACAGTCTCAATGACTTTTCCCACAGATAAGAGCATAGTCGTCACAACACAGCTTTAAGGCTGGTTTAGTGAACTTTTTACACTCTTGACAGGAGCCGGGCTGATGTCTTTTTCCCAAACAAAACAGGCAGCGGTCGTGGCCGTCTGTAAACGGGATTTTCTTCGCACACAATGCACCCTGAAGAGGCCATAAAATTTGGTGGGAACCTGACAGATAGTAATGATCGAAAGAACTAATGGGAGACATTAACAGATAGTTTTACTGCACTCATAGTCAAGCCGAAATATCAGTCCGAGAAACAGAATCAAGTAAATCCAATAACACAAGTCCAAATCGTAATCCAAAAACAACACGATGAACGGAGTTCAAAGCCCAATAATCACAGTACTAACAGTACAGAATCAGAGAGAACAGAAGGTCAGGACAGTCTGGGTCAGTAAGCCAAATAATAATCATTGTCAAAAACAATCTATAGGTCAATACCAGAAATTTTTAAAACATGAATTAGCTCGAGCGATTGCAGCAGCAGCAAAAAGTAACTGAGGTACCGGCAGGTGGAGCATACACGATACAACACAATCCATAAGTCAATACCAGAAATTTTTAAAATATGAATTAGCTCGAGTGATTCAAAGTAGTCCGATTGCAGCAGCGGCAAAAGGTAACTGGGGTACCGGCAGGTGGAGCATACACGATACAGGGAGACATTTTACTTGTCATTATTTTAGCTCTAGAATATTCCGAAGAGTCCTGCACAGGTGCAGTTTAACCCATTCATATGCATTCACAGAGACCACGAAGAAGAAACACCTGTTGACACTTTGTGAAAGAAGTGACTGAGGATAATCTTTAGCTGGATGTTTAGCACTTCTGATGCAGAAGCCTTAGAAAACATGGGTAATGATCAGGGATTCTGAAAATTGAACTCCAAGACAGTTGGGCTTGCTGATTTCTGAAGGGTCAAGCCTTCAAGGCTACATTGTTGTCTCTTGGTGTTTTTTTTCTTATGTCCAAAAGCTTTTTCATTACAGATAACCGAAGAATGACAAAAACAAACATAGAAGTGATGAAAACCTTCCTGGTATTTAAAAGTAGTGCTAGGCTTCATAATTCAGTCCAGCTTTCTAAAAGTATATTTGGGGTAAAACAAAACCCTTCCCAGAAGATTAAAATACATCAGGGTGGTAAGTGGGGAATTTGTCACACTTGGGCTGGGATTACCTATTTCTGTAAGGCAGAAAAAGACACATTTTTTTCATTTTCTTCCTTTTTCTTCATTTAGGGAAAAAATAAGCTTGTTTGGCTATGATTGGAAGGCCAGATGCCATCTGCCTCAAAATGTGGGCTGATATGTCCCTGGGATAATGCTACATATTGATGTAATGCTATTCCTTGAGGCATTTCTGGCAAAGAGAGTTGGTTGCACCCCAAATTGTTGTACTTTAATGTACCATCTCTATTCAATGACATCCCTCACCCACTACTGTGAGAATGAATGATACAGAGAATGTTGTCTGGTGGGGGGAAGGGGGAGACAATGCTATCCAGGCCTACTGGAACTACCCATGCTGGCTTCAATGGAGGAACAATCAGGACAATAATTCTTCCTTCCTTTAGACTGAATGTACTCACCCTGCTGATGGAGAAGACAACCCCAGGCTTGCCAGAGCAGACACCCATAAAGCAGTGGCGGAATTGCCAATAAAAGAGATGTTCACAGATGAAGGTGATAAGGCTGAGGGCCATAGCTGCTCCTAACATATAGAAAACTCCCGCCATGTTATCTATGTCCAGCTGGCTACTCATGACCTCATTCTTCTCATTGTGGCAAATGCCTGTGAGCCAGAGAGCTTCTAGCTCCTCCATCTCCCCTAGAAGGTCAAGCAGGAAGGAATACAATAGAAAACTGAATGAAACTTAACTGCAGTGATTAGAACAATTCATTTTGCTTGTATGAATTCTTATGTTAAGCACTCCTAATGTAAACAAAGATCCTACTCCTTATAGTTTTCATCTTGTTGGCTCTTATAAATGCTCTTTGCAATAAGCAGATATTATTTCTAGTTTTCTAAAAAATGTGAAGTGCAGTAACTTGCCAAAGGCCACAAAGTGAATACAAAGCTAATGGAAATCTTAGACTCATGTATGCAAATCAAGAACTAAGCTAACTCACCATAATTCTCCTGTGATTTTACTTTAGAATTAATGAAATCACATAACACATGGTGGCAAATTGCTGCTAATTAATGAGGTTCCAGTTGTGTAACACAAGCAGATACACAACTAGACATACAATTAACATCTTGTTAATCAGCTGAAATTAATTACCATAATATATGTAATTAAATTTAATCCACTGTAAAATCCCAGTAGGATTATATCCACTATGTGATATTTTCATAGATGGTGACAGTATCATCTATCCATTTTTTTAAAAAAAAAAATCTATTAAAAAGTTTGGTGCTGCATCTCTTGATTTGTTTTAAAAGGGCATTCCACCGTATGGGATATTTGTGGGGTGCATACGTAAGAGCAAAAAAACACATGCATACCAAAATTCCTCCTCCCAATCTGTTTAAAGTCCATAATATAAATCAGAACCATTCGAAACCATTTCCAGAGTGAATGCGCACACCGATATATAAACCACATGACTGGGAACTGATATTGTGGTGTTGACACTGATATAAATCAGTAGTGTAACTAGGCCCTGTTTACTTTAACTATATTGTCATATATAGTCTATTACACATTTGAAAACCATGGCAAAAAAGTACTCTATTGCATACCATTAAGTTGGTTCCAGCTTATAGGGAACCATTTTAGGATCTTGTTACAAGCTACTCAGAAGTGCCCTTCCTCTGGGGGTGTCCTAGGATTACAGCAAGGCTATACAGGCTGGCTCTTCTCCCAGAAGGTACAGGGATGAATCAAATTCTCTGTCCCTGGCTGTTTACTCAGGTACCCAGCTCACTGAGCTATCCAGCCAATTAATACTACTCCACAGAGTATCACTTATATGTAAATGTAATGTAATGAGTCTAGAATTATGTTATATTATTTTTTTTTGTACAATGGGTGACAAGTTGTGCATCAGATAATTTAATTTAACATGCAAGTCACCTCTTAGGTCATCAAAACTAGTTTGCATTTTAGATATCTTGGTGCAATGCATCTTGACATAGAGCACTACAGTTTGAAATACATGACTTGATCCATGCATGAACTTGCAGATGTTGGACACATCGGTTTACGGTTGCTTCTTACACTGTGCTCTACTGTTGAATGCCTACCTTTATCAACTCAGTATTATTATAACTTACTCAAGATTTCAGGTCTTAATCTAAAGATCTAGCAGTAATGGTAAAATTGCCTGCTTCAAAGCTTACACAACCTACTTGTATAAGTGAAACAATGAACAGACTTTGTTTTTCAGCTTTATGCATTTACAAATAATACATGTTATGTAAGTGATTTTTGCTGGATGTTACAGAGTTGCTGTTTTTTGTTTTTGTTTAATCCTAGGAACTCTCAATATCCTGAAAAAGCATGCTGCTTCAAATAATCATGCATGTATAAACTGAAAATCTTAATGAACTGAAATAAAACTGTAATCAAAATCATGACTTTGTAACATATGCTAATGGTCTATATGTTTGGAAAATAGAATATGCATTTCTAACAAGAAACAGATAGAAAGTGGCAGGGGGCAAATATGAAAGAGAATGCTGGCTCCTGATACAAGACTCCAGCAACCTACCCAGTTTACTTACCATCACCAAAAAGCTGTAGGATTGCAAGATCAACTTGTCGTTTCCAGCCTGAATTCTTCTGGATGGCAATGCCATAGCCTGTGGAAGCAAAGACTTTCCCGCTGCCAATTGTTACTAGCTTGCAACCTTCATCTCGGCCAGCCATGTAGTTTAGCACAGCTGCATCATAGATAAAAGCATCCAACTTCCTGTGGTGTCAAGAAGGAAGAAACAGAACAGTCAAGAGAAGGGTCTTGGCAAACTTTAAAATATCATGGCCTACTGAAGGAAATGCACAATTCAAGTTTGTCCCTGGCGGAGAGAGAACACAGAGGAGGCTAAACCATAGGCTTTTTGTGCAGCTTCTGGATTGAGTGGGATGCAGACTAGCTGTAGGGTTCGTTATACATACAGTGGGGTCTTGACTTAAGAACGGCTTGAGTTAAGAACATTTTGACTTAAGAACCACTCTCATAGGAAAATACTGACTTGACTCACATACTTAGATTTGAGTTAAGAACTGAAAAAAAACCACGTGGGAGGCAGGGAAAGTGCAAAATTGGAACTTTCAGTTAACTGTTGGCCAGTGAAAAGGGTGCCTGTCTGCTTCCTCACGCCTCCCAGCGTTTAGAGAGTGGATTGGGAGTCTTCAGACTGCCTGGTACTGCCTGGACTGTATTTTCCCTGCCTTCCCTGAACCTTTCTTGACCTAAGAAAAAAAGAAACAAAATATCCCCCTCTAGTGGTCGAAGGCAGAATAGCAGCTTCCCATTCGTTTCAATGGACGGAAAAGAGCAGATACGGATCAAATGGTTTTCAATGCATTCCTATGGGAAATGCAGATTTGACCTGAGAACTTTTTGACTTGAGAACCGCCTTCCAATACGGATTAAGTTCTCAAGTCAAGACCCCACTGTATCTGCACCATTAATAGGACTAAAAAATCAAAGACATATTCATAGTCACTATAATCATGCATCTGCATTCACTACTGAACAACACTTCCCTTTATAGATAAAAATAAGGTGCAACAATTAAGCAACATACCTATACTAAGTAGACTATAAAGTGAAGCAGATAATTTCCAAACCAAACTGCTCAAAGATAAGGCTTAGCAAAATGAAATTACTCAAATTAGATTTGCCCTGGGCCCCACTCTTGTAAAAGTCTTGGAGGCACCATTAAATATGACATTAAAGATGGTTAATAGATCAACTTGTGTCTCTCTATGAGGGCAGAAACTTCAACTTTAGATTGGCCCACAAACCTCAAACAGAGAAACAGAATCAGTGCTGCATCAGAAAGAAAGAAAAAACTGGCCAGGACCACTTAGAGCCTCACTGATATTTAGCAGAAGACATTTTTGTGAATATTTATCTGAGATTTTTCTTTCTCTCACACCACCCAATCCCAGAAAAAGAAAACCCCAGAACAACTCTAGGTATGGAGCATTGTGCAAGACACAAAATGGTGGACAGGCTATCAAACCAACTGCTGCTATTGCCAATGGCAGAAACAACAACCTTCTAAAAAAAACCCTCTCCCTGACTTTTGAAAGGAAGGAAGAAAAAAGAAAAGAAAAAGGAGACAGGGAGAGGGAGAGGGAGAGAAAAGAAGGAAGGAAAGAAGAGAAAAGAAAAGAAAGCTTTGCAATTGTCACCAAGAATGCTGAGCCCAACTCCAAAAACTCTTGGACCTTTTCCCTTTCCTCTTAAGAAAATTCAGTGAAACTGTCCCCTATTTCTGGGCTCCAAACTGGGCATAGGTCTTTACCCCATGCCTGCAGTATCAGCTCTAAGAACACACTCATAGAAGCTGCATTTCATCTAAACTGCTACAAGTGGCTGGTTTTCTTTAGATTGTTGTGTCTTATGATCTCTTGATTACTTACGCACTCCCAAACCATTTTATGAAATGGCCAAAATCCTGTTGCTTCATGTAGTAAGTCTTACTAAAGTAGGTCCATTGAATCCATGGGAATTCCTATCATAGTCGTATCACTAGTAAGACAGGTTAATACTCACTAATTAAGAGAGAAAGAGGAGGAATGGACAGCTTTGATAGACTACAATAGATTTAACAGTGTATATCATTGATTTACCAGGAGGATAAGATAAACTGGGGCATGAAACTATCCTAAAGAGCCTGGGTCACACAGGGAAGCATTTGCATATGCTATTGCACTTACTTCTTTCTCCCATGATTTCCCTGCACACATTAATTGTAAAGTGAATGTATGGGTGTGTATGCATATGTACAGGCATGCACATATGTTTATATATTATACCTGTGCATAACACCACCAGTCATACATGCTTCAGGTGATGTCAGCTGGCCACTCTCCAAGGATTTGAACTCTCAGCCCTTCACTCTGCAGCCAGGTGTTCTGTTCCACTAAGCAATATCAACTCATATAAAATTCACTTTGTGTTTTTTTTTCGAGGAAAGACTAGTACAAAATATATATTCCCTGCAACAGATCTTCCCTCCTTTATTATTGGTTCAGATTCCTAACTAACTAATGTTTTTGTACTAAATAGGGTGAATAAATATCATATAGTTATTTCACAATGACTGGAGAAATGATTTTTTCTATTACTGTCTTAGTTTATTGTGTCTCATAAACCACAAACCAACTTTTTAGAAAATATTATGGCACTTAGTATGTACAATTCACTGGCAGCAGGAATATTGCAGACGTTTCTTCAAAACCCCAAGAGATATCCCCCCACACTTGGGTTTCTATTACCAGCAATAATCTTTATAGTGGGGGGGGGGAGTCTCACCCTGTCTTCAGTGAGGCGAGTGCATCTTGCACTGATTTTTGGTTGAACTTCACCATGTAGCCATGCATCAGTTCATAATTGTTGCGAATATTCCTCTCTGTACTGCCATTAGGAACGGTTCCGAAGCGGAAAGGTGGGGAAAAGGCATGTGGGTTTTGGAACTAGGGGGGGAAAAGAGAAAGAAAAGGTCTCAGGTATTTGTTTCTTGGTGGTTGTTTGCAAAAGTATCAGATTTCCTAAAATGTCACAAATGTAGTTAGGCAGGCAGGTAGGTAAGAACTTTAATGGCACATTGGCACCATGGACAATGATTAGAAATGTGAAGAAATCTCATTATTGCCAAGATTCTAATTATGTCTAGCTGTCAAAAGAGCTACTCAAGGTATCTTGAAGACTGAGGTGTCGATTTTTTCCCTCACATCATGTCTGCAATTTGCACAAAATATAATTTATATGATACTCCTGTTTCTATGTGAATGCCACAAAGGAATTTATCCCTTTGTGAAGATAGCATACAAAATCAGCAACACACAAGAGACTGACTGATCACAAAGAAACAAACAACCATTCAGTGCTACTATTTTTATTATCAGGGAACAGTTATCACATTTTCCAGTACTAACTGTTGTACAGAAGCCCCAAAAACCCATTCACAAGAATGCACTAATTTTCGGAGAAGCTGAAAATCACTATCTTGTGGTGGCTCACAGGCAGGAGAAATGTTTTGAAGATATCTTATTTACCATACAAATTAAAATCAGGTTTCACATTCCAAATAATGACCCCTGACTGATCATAATCTGAGGAAGCTCTATATGTTCACAGATTAAAACCATGCCTGGATAGGTTTTCTAGAGCAATTTGTATTTCCGAAGACGCAAGATAGCAGCATATGTCTTGAGCTATGAAAGATACAGTAAAAGAAATTTAACATCAGCTACTCATAGAAGTTCTTTCAATTGCAGTGCTTGCTCTAAAGCTGACCCCCAACAAACAACAAAATCTCTAGTACTTATTTTATTTATTAGCACTGCCCCCCCTCCAAAGGACCACTTTTTTTCTGCATACAATAGCATTTTTAGCTACAGTGGAAGTATGTGGTTCAGGCAGACTGAAAATATAAGCAGTCTTGACCCACCAGTCTCAGGAAGTAGCGCTACTGTAATAGTATCTATTTGTGCATTCTTTTGCTTTTTTTCATACGCAGAAAAGTAACACGCTACATTGAAGCACACCTTTGTGGTAAGGATAAAACATCCTTCTCCTCAGTTCCTGTTCAGAGAGGTTCCATGTAAGGAATGCTACACGTGTGCAAGACCACACTACACTGCACTCCACCTTAGAGTTCTCTCCTATGTACATTTATTTATTTATTTATTTATTTATTTATTTATTCATTCATTCATTCATTCATTCATTCATTCATTCATTCATTCATTCATTCCATTGATACCCCGCCTATCTGTTCAATTACGACCACTCTAGGCGGCTTACAACACACAATATAAAACAAATGTATATATAACATAACAGATAACATAATTTACATAAATTAGGAAAAAAAGATGTCTTTTGGACTCTAAGGCACAGACTTTAAAAAAAAACCAATAAATTCTAAGATTATTATTCTTACATGTTGGAGCATTTTGAGAGCTCTGTTGGCTGAGGAGTGGGATGAACATGCAATCAGTCAATCAGTCAATCCTTCCTTGATCTTATTGACTGATTCCCTAAAAGTTCAGTTGGTATAGTCTGGAAACCTGAATCAATGGCAGCCGCATATACAAACCATTTTACATTATGCAAATTTCCAATCTCCTGATATTGACAATGAGATTTTTAAAATAGCAAATAAATTTGTCTTCCCTTGTTTCACACAGGTGAGGCAGGGAATTTTCAAATAATATGATACATCATTGATGTTCCATATTATGGGTTTACCCATCTTTAGCTGTTACAAGCTGTGACAACTTTCTAAATATCAGTTCTAGGACAACACAAGTGAGAAGGCAGTGACACTGTTTTTTAAAAAAACTAAACTGGGTTTCATCTGTTCTGAGTTGCTGTAAAAACGGCTGAATACATGATGTACGTGTAAGGGTGGATTAATCTGACAAGGAATCAAGGTTGTTGGGTTTTTTTTTAGTGGAAGTGACATTTTTTACTCCTCTGCCAGAGGTCTATTTATTTTAATGAGGATGTGGAATAAATTCATTTAAATCCACCCCACCCACCCCCATGTGAACACCTCTGTTCTCATTGATTTTTAAGTAGCCCTCCCGCTGGCTGACTCTCATAGCCACTTGTACCTGCTGTTGTGTTAAAAGCAGGAAATGGGGGGGGGGCGCCTGGACACCAAGCAGCCTGCAGTAGCCCCCTCATGCCTCATCCTGTGGTGGAGGATCTTAATAAGGCACGAGCAACCCAACAAAGTGTCTCTTTATTGAGCTGACATGCAAACCCTGGAACTAGTGGCTGAAAGGCAGGAAGACAGGGAAAACGCTGCCACAATATCTCTCTTCCCCACTCTAGTCAGCCAGTTTCAGCCCATGTCTCTTCCTTCACCTCAGCTGTGTCTGCATGTGTTTGTTTGCACATTTGCAGCATGTGTCAACTGCCTGTTGTTGCCAGGTTTTCCTGCACACATCAGCACTCAGAAGGCACCGCTGTGCACAAAGGCCTTTCAAGCACTGTCTTGTTCAGCTATTGCCTATTTGTTTGTTTGTTTGTTTATATATACCCCACTTTTCTTCTTAAAAGGGCCCAATGTGGCTTACATAATTAAAAGACAATATAAAAGCTAACAACAGTGAATATACAAATACTAAAAAAGGATCAAATAAAAACATATAAAAACATAAGCAACACCAAAACATATTCAAAGCAGGAAATGTACAACAATCACTTTAAGAAACTCCACTCAGGCAGCCAATCACTCAAGAAAAGCTTGCCTGAAGAGAAAGGTCTTTGTCTGCTTGTGGAAGGACAGCAAAGATAAAAAATAAAATAAATATATTATTTAGTAAAATATTTTACCCCACCTTTCTCCTTTCAAAAGACTCAAGGAAGCTTATATCATTAGAAGAAAATATTTAAAGCTAAAAACAATAAGTATGCAAATATTAGAAAGTAACAAGCAGATACCACTCTGAGAAATCATAAACGGAAGCAATATTAAAAACGCATTCAGAGCAGTAAGGCACAACAATCCATTTAAAAATCTCACTCAGGCAGCCAGTCACTGAGGTAAAACTTGCCTGAAGAGAAAACTTGCCTGAAGAGCCCGAAAAACCCACAACAACCACTGAAGAGAAAAGCTTGCCTGCTTGTGAAAGGACAGCAAAGATGAGGGCAGCCTGGACTCCTGTGGGAGGGAATTCCATAGTCTGGGAGAAGTGACATAGAAGGCTCTTTCCTATGTCCCTACCAAACACAAACCCATCTGTGAAGGTGGTGGGATGAAGAGAAAGGCCTCTCCTGATGGTCTTAACACCTGAGCAGGCTCATAGTGGGAGACATGATATTTGAGATAGCGTGAACCCAGCCATTTAGGGCTTTATATTTATTTAGGGCTTCCCTCCTCTGGGTGTGCACACATACACACACACTAGCCTGCATCTCTGAATTCCAGTCTTGGGGTGGAGAGAGGCAGTGCAGACATCTGGCAAGAGTGACCCTTCAAAAACACTGGATTAAATTATTGTTCCAAGGGAACGCAAACTACAGTTCAGACACCACGTGACTTGGAGTTGATTTAACTCAATTTCCTTTTACACTGACACATATTCTGATCTACTGCCTTAATGTAAACAAGCCCTGAGACAACATTACAGCCCCGATATCCTAGTCGCACAGATCCATGTGAAAAAGAAGTCTTTTGACTTAATCCAGCATGGCTCTTTTGTTCTTTCTTTGTGGAAGAGGGCAGAAAATGGGTTGGAAGCCATCCTGCAAACCCTTGGCTGCCTCTGATAAAAACACCCCTCATAAAACTCATTTCAGCCAAAACTGCTAGAAGATTTTAAATGTCATTTAGTTTATTCAAGTCACATCCAATGCTTTCTGGGGTTTTATGAGCAGTAAACCTTCACGTTGACAATTACCAAGGCTCTTTAAAATCCATACATTGGGAGGTAGTAGAGAAAAGGCAGGCTGAGATGTAAGGCAGGGACCCAAAATCAGCATTAAGATGTGGAAATTATGCCAAAGCCTTTCAAGTAAATGGAAAATTCCCTCTTTGGTGCTGCAGAGAGGCATTTTGCATGGCTTAGTAGCACCCTTTGCCAATATAATAACAGGCACCATGAAGCAGGAACTGAAATTTGCTTAACAGTCAAACTGACTCAGTATGGTGGCAAACAGATAAACTACAGACCTAGCAGGGCACACACAGTTAACTGGTGCATGAGTATGGCAAATATATGAAGAATATACATAACTGCCACTCACTGCAGAAATACCAGCCTGTCAATATGTACATATACTCCACAAACTGGAACTCTCTGCAACAGATACACATATATTGATCTTTACTGGCAAGTAGATTGTCTGTAATCATACCATCTGCTGGGAGAATAGGTAAAATCTACCCTCTCTCCTTGCAAGAAAATGCCAAAATATATATCAAGGGGCATTTGGTGTGAGCATATATATGATGTTAATAAATGCAAGAAAAAGCTATTTACTGTAATATTGGTCAATATTTTTAAAGAAACTTTCCTAAGCACAAAAAAACTAATAATACACATAAGGGAAGCAAAGGCAACTTCCAAGGGGCAAAATAAAAACCTACAACAAGGGATTTTTTTTATTACCTGCTCAAAAGTCATTTGAAAGTAGTAAGATGTAGGTGTGTTTTATCGGTGGAAACAGATAACAATTATGTGCCACAGAGTTGCCAGCCATAGCCACAATGGTGCAAAAGATGCTTTCACCACTAGCTGCTAGGCCACATTAGAAACAGCCAGCAGCAGATGAAAGCTCCATGTTGATTTATTAATACCTTGAGCCTGTACACCACACACTCCTCCATAAGGAGGGGACTTCAGTGCTATAGAATCTAAATGAGAAAGAATGGAGTGAAAGGCTCTCTACTTCAGTGCTATGGAATCTAAATGAGAAAGAATGGAGTGAAAGAATCTTAAAACACCATCCCAAAATT